AAAGCAAACAGTGGGGACGCACGTTCTAACCTAACCTAACCTATTCTAATAAATTATCATAATTAATACCATTTATATTATTAGAATAGGTTAGGTTAGGTTAGAACGTGCGTCCCCACTGTTTGCTTTTGTTTGCTGGAATCAGCGCCGGCGCCACGACAGCCGCCGCCGTTCGCTCGCGTCGTCACGTGACACGTCGTCTCCAAAGCGGTCCGGTTTCGAGGCTAAAACAGGAAGAGCCGCCATGATGGTCTACGACCCTGGACATTAACCGTTCTTGAACAAAATAAAAAAAGAAAACGTCTACTAAAAATGTAATTAATCTAACGGAAACGAAGCGCCGCCATTTTAGTCACCATACGTAACATTTACCCAAATATCAGTAAATAACAACTTAAAAACTTAAGATTAATACAAACAGTATATCGTCATTGGAAATATTCTCTATACAGTGTATTCTTAATATCACTAACCTTTCGTCAATTTTAAATTATTTGCAGAAAACGAACGTAGAAACAATAAAAATTTATCCACGAAACCTTCGTACAATCTCGCTAATACGTGTTTACAAGAATAATGGCGGCTTAAAGTCACGTGATCACAAACTGCCAATAGAAAGGCGTTTCTTATACGGTTACTCTCGTTATAGGCTCCTTACAAATTTTGAGATAGGTGCGACCTCTAGAGGCTAATTATGGAATTATTAAATGCAGTATTAAATGGAAATTACGTAGAGAGAAGTCAAAAACTTAAAAAAAAATAATTAAAGCTGAGATTAAATAGAAATAATAATAATATAAATTTAAAATTTAATTTATTAATAAATTAATTAAATATTAAATTTTTAAATGAAATTTAGAATGAAGATCAATTAAAAGTCACAAAAGGTGCCTTAACACTAGAAAAGGAAAGAGCCTGGAAACAACTTATTAGTTGCTATAAGACATACGAAAATAGCACCTTAGATCGAAGGCAACGATACAAAAAATTATGTGAAAAAGATGAAGAAAATCAAAGAAATATCGATATTGGAAAGGAAAAAGTTGCTGCATTAACTGTGAGTTGTTTGCGTCCTCCATATTTTTGTCAATTATTCACCGAGTGAATAAAGCATTGAACTATGGTCGCGGGTTCGCACCTCTCCAACATTGTAACCGCGTAGAATTTTCCGAAGTTTAACTTACTTCCCGTGTCTAATGCTTAAATAGGGAACAGTTTCCCATAGAAAGTCCTCTAGGATTGAATTCTCCTTTAGTGATTACCAAAGCCAAACGTTGCCTTTTTCATTAATCCAATCCAATCTTTCGTATACCATTAACATACTTATATTTATATTTTATGAATGTCGGCATGGATTTATAAATTTTCATAAAATTTATAAATCCACAATTATAAAGATCGCTCGACCCTATTGCGGGCGAGGTCTTCTTGTAATAGGCAAATTTATTGCCCTTATTTCAATTGATGGTGCCTCAATGGTATTTATGGATCATCATATTTACAAGTTGCTAGTTCAAAACAAAATGCCTGATGATTTTAATGACTGTACTGATCTTCAGAAATTTAAATTTTTGAAAGTCGAAGTGTATTCGTTTGAATTAGTAAATATGTTTTGCTGCTCTTTACTGAATTTTTTATTCTTTTTTGGTGGATTTTCTTTATTTCTATAAGCTCATACTTATATTGGCATGATAATACTCTGTATTTATTATATCTTTTACGCATTTAATTAAAATTAAAAGAATAAATTAATCCATTATTACAATAAATGGATCGCTCTCATTGCGTGTCAGACCCTCTCATATCAGGCATAACTGCTACTGAAATATCAGTTTTAGGTAACTCAATTGTAAAATCATCAACATACAGTGTGACTATAAAGTGTCGATCCATTTTTTGTGAAAATGGTAAAAAAAGTCAGTTTTTTGCAAGTCAGTCGTGTGAAGCATGCTGATCCAAGAAAAGAAAATCGCTGTGATTTAAACATGTTTGAGTGGATTAACATACACGAAAGTACCATCAAATCTTCCTGCTCCGTAGCCTTTAAGAAATAATGATATTGCTTGGCGAGTGACATCCTTTTTTTACCTCTTCCAGCTTGTGAAACGCATGGACACATTATGCACGTTTCATGAATTTGTAATGATCTCTCATACTATCGGTTGTGGCACAATTAATACCTGGCTTAGTCTTCTGGTTGATGACGTAGATCCTGTGTTATTGCAGTTTCTACACGTTGAATCATTTCGTGTGGAATGGTGGATCTACTGAAACATTGTCCATCGTGTACACAACCCATTCATTTGAATTTGATGTTAATCCACTAAAACCTACGCAAAAATAGTGATTCTCTCTTCTTGGATCAATATGTTTCATGCGATTTGTATAGAAATGATTTTGTTACTATTTTCGCAAAGATGAATCGAGACCTTATAATCACCCTGTATTTATAATGTAAATTTGCTATATTCAATACAAAATAGATTCCTTTGTATTTACTTTACTTTCTTTGTATTAGAGCTCGAGTAATTTTTCAGCAAATGACGAGAAATTCAACAAATAAAGCTATGATGACTCATTTAACATTGTAAGAAATTGCTCTAATATAAAACTTTGAAGAATTAAGCATATCTAACGATTATAAGGATGTGCCAATTTCCTCCTAGCTTTAACAGTTGAACAATCCCTTATAATTTTCATTGTAGCCTATACAAACGATCGCAGCTGCAATTAGCATAAACCCGCCATTAGCGAGTGGATAAAACCACTAGTTAGTCGTAGGTTCGCGCCTGGCCAAGGGGTTGTCCACATTGAGTTTTTCGTGTTTTCTACTCGTTAGTAACGTCTGAATAGGGGTCAATTTCCCATAAAAGACCTCCCAGAAGGCATTCCCCTTAGGCATATGGCTCACGTGTCGCGCTGTCGTATACGAATAAAACCAAACCAAACTCAAACAATTTAAATCTGTTATAAAATGATATTTACGAATAGAATTTCACGAGATTTTTCCTATTATTTCATATTTGTATATAGTATAAACGTTTTTAATTTATAGAAAAACATAGCAAAACTGAAATCAAAGATGTCAATATCTTCGAAGAAGACACAAGAAAAAATTCGCTCATTATCAGAGGTATATTAGAATAATAACAATCTTTATTTTATATATTATATAGATGTCGAAATCCCCCGCNAACACAGGTTGGCGCCTGAAGCATTGTTTCATATTAATAACTCTGAGAAGTTGGATGCTGCCTTGCTAATGGTAGAATTCCGTAGATTGTAACTTAAGCCCGCGGGAAAGTCATCGGCAGTCGGCACACAGTAATCAATAAGGGAGACTGAACAATAAAAGTCGGACAGAATAATGCTCTGGCTTTAGCGGTAAAGAATTCATATGAGGATCATTTGAATAGAATAAAAATTTTTAAAACATTTTAGGATAAATGTTTCGAATGTTGATAGCCGGATCTTTAAAGTTATGAATAAATGAGAATACAATATAGTCTCTACAGTCCGTCACTTGCCAGTCCGACTCGTCTAGTAATCCGACACTGCTCCGCAAGGCGGTGCACATGAAAGTTTCGTGTTAACTCTTGATGTATGTGACAGAGACCGATGAATGTGTATACTGTTAGTCGTTTGTTGTTCGTTGCATCTGCGGTAAGCGAAACAGTCCGATCGTGATTAATACGATAAACTGACTCGTCAATCAAGTACATTTTTTATTGTACAGTTCATACATACATACATACAAAATTCAATAATCCAACATCCGCCGGTCCGGTACATGTCGGATTACAGAGACTTTACTGTACTTCAATACGATTGCACCATGATATAATACGATATGATATTTTCTCTCCGACTCTGGCTCTGAAGCAGAAGTGGACTTTAAACACCTCCCTCCCCGTGACATAGGAATGTTAACCATATAACTGTCTGCCACTGGCTGGGGCCAGATCGACTGCATTCGTTCACCCTTTCGACGTTCATACATTGTCCTTGCACCACCAAGGAGAATGCCGCAGTTTGTGAAGGTGTGTCAGGATTGGGAACAATCCTCGGAACTCGAAAGAATGACGCATCCGTTCAAATACTTCGTTGGTGTTTGAATCTGGGAGATCCAGTATCCCAGAACCCCCAGGTTTCAAAAGACACCGGGGACTTCATCTGCACGTATAAGTACAGCAAATCTTACTGCCAACGAAAATCGGTTCGATTGAAGGCAAGGGATTCGGCTCGGGCCGCCAAAGTGACAGGGGCCCCTACCACTTTTCAGAAGCACCCCTATTAAGTGAAATCCTACAAGAGGCACTCGCTGATGTATCCATTCCTTATGACAGGCTGCCAACCTGCGCTAGACAAGTCCAATCGACTACACCCCACTTATCCTGTCCAAAGACAAAGCCTCCTTAGGAAACCTGTTCGTAGCCGCTAAGAAGCCACCCTCTCGATCGACTGAGCATTGGACTGGCCTCATACGTTTTTTGGTGTCCATCATGTGACTAACACTTAAATATGAACCACTTTCCCATAGAAAGTCTTCGCAGAAGGTACCTGCTTTGTACATCTCCACCCCGTGTTGGGTTGTATTCTTTCATCAATCCAATCCACAATTTTTATCCAGATTTATCCAAATATTTAAATTAATTCAAACATTGCATATTTTTAACTTATCTTTCTCATAATTCGAAATTTTAGGTTGAAGCAATTCTGAAAATTAGAATATTATACGAGAAATTAGAATTATTGGAGGAAAAACTTCATCCATTTTATAGAAACAGTGAAACTGAAAAGAAATCGAAGCAAACAAGCAACGAAAATATATTTGACATGCTTATTCTTCCTAATATAGAAGTAACATAAATTTTATTTTTTAAATAGAAAACATATGGAATTAAAAGTTAATTTTAAAAATTGTTTTTTAATTATATATAAAAAATATATATAAACACAGTCTGTTACCAAAAATATGAACCTCGTATTTTTATTGATAAAATTAAAATTCTTTAATGGAATCAAATTTAATTATTCCTTTCCAAACTTATAAATACAATATCTGTTCATAATATAAATATGTAATAGATAGATAATATATTCTCTATTGTACACAACACACTTTTTAGTTTCGAAAAGACCTCGAATTTACAAGCAAATCCAAAGTAACGTAAATGTAAATCTACCCAATTTTTTAAAATTTTTTCTCTGTTTTACTTAAATTCAATTCATACAGCTTCTGCTTCATAAATCTTCATACATTGTATATGGGTGGAGTTGATTGAAGTCTGGAGAGTTGATGGCACGAGATGACATCCAATCTGTCTTTCAAACCAGGCAACTTGTGAGGTGAACTCCGAATTGGTGCATTGAACACTTTCACCTTCTTGAATTCTTTTCTGCACCCGTTTGATGGTTGTATTTTTCACAATTCCAGTCCATAGCTTAAAAATGATTACAGTTTTGCATAAATTCATAAGTGGCTTAATTTTTTTTTGTAACAGACTGTATATATAATGTGTTTTAAAAATTTTCAGGAGGAAAGCTTTACAGATATTAAAAATATTTAGTATAAAAATTCGTTTTGTTTGTTATCTACATTCATGCAAGAGTGAGCATACAATGTTCAATTTGCCAAAGTTATTGGTTCTTCTTTTATGGTAACGCATAGAAGTGTTACCATAAAAGAAGAACCAATTATATATACAGTCTACGAAGTTAATCACATGGTTTAATTACCATTACTTGTATGAACTTAATATAACCAATACATATATGTACCAGTTATAATACCAGTACATGTATGAAATTAATATGTAAATAAGTATCTCCCCCTGTAATAAGGCTTGCCTTAACATAATAAACTTATTATTATTATTTAATATATTATTTTAAAATTATAGAACATATTTTATAAAATTACAAAAGAATATTAAAAAATTGAGACACGTTCATTCTTCTAGTAATGGATCCGAGTGCAGTCGTGAGTTAAAAGTAATGTAAAAAGTATTAAATTGTGTTATAAAACCACATTCTTAAGATATATTATTAAACAAATATTGCGTATTTATTGTATATAAGTTTAGGACTCGGATAGNATCAGTAGCAATTCTTGCAACTCGTAGTAACGAAGTTTTAAAGTATTTGCAGTCTTTAATAGAAAAGGTTAGAATTAATTTTAAGTAAATTTAATTGCTTATTATTGATTTTAATTTTATATGAAATATGAAATCTACACAATGAAAATGCCAATATGAGAAAAATTCACAACCTTAATATCCAGCAGGATTGTTATTCTAATTCGAATCCACTTTTAAAGAATACATTAAAGATTTTCCCCAATACTTTTGTTTTATAGGCACGTAAATTTATGACTTCTGTCGTACCCACCAGTGTTCGAGTGTTCGAGATTGAACCACCAAACACAGGTTGGCGCCTGAAGCATTGTTTCATATTAATAACTCTGAGAAGTTGGATGCTGCCTTGCTAATGGTAGAATTCCGTAGATTGTAACTTAAGCCCGCGGGAAAGTCATCGGCAGTCGGCACACAGTAATCAATAAGGGAGACTGAACAATAAAAGTCGGACAGAATAATGCTCTGGCTTTAGCGGTAAAGAATTCATATGAGGATCATTTGAATAGAATAAAAATTTTTAAAACATTTTAGGATAAATGTTTCGAATGTTGATAGCCGGATCTTTAAAGTTATGAATAAATGAGAATACAATATAGTCTCTACAGTCCGTCACTTGCCAGTCCGACTCGTCTAGTAATCCGACACTGCTCCGCAAGGCGGTGCACATGAAAGTTTCGTGTTAACTCTTGATGTATGTGACAGAGACCGATGAATGTGTATACTGTTAGTCGTTTGTTGTTCGTTGCATCTGCGGTAAGCGAAACAGTCCGATCGTGATTAATACGATAAACTGACTCGTCAATCAAGTACATTTTTTATTGTACAGTTCATACATACATACATACAAAATTCAATAATCCAACATCCGCCGGTCCGGTACATGTCGGATTACAGAGACTTTACTGTACTTCAATACGATTGCACCATGATATAATACGATATGATATTTTCTCTCCGACTCTGGCTCTGAAGCAGAAGTGGACTTTAAACACCTCCCTCCCCGTGACATAGGAATGTTAACCATATAACTGTCTGCCACTGGCTGGGGCCAGATCGACTGCATTCGTTCACCCTTTCGACGTTCATACATTGTCCTTGCACCACCAAGGAGAATGCCGCAGTTTGTGAAGGTGTGTCAGGATTGGGAACAATCCTCGGAACTCGAAAGAATGACGCATCCGTTCAAATACTTCGTTGGTGTTTGAATCTGGGAGATCCAGTATCCCAGAACCCCCAGGTTTCAAAAGACACCGGGGACTTCATCTGCACGTATAAGTACAGCAAATCTTACTGCAAACAAAAACCCGTTCGATTGAAGGCAAGGGATTCGGCTCGGGCCGCCAAAGTGACAGGGGCCCCTACCACTTTTCAGAAGCACCCCTATTAAGTGAAATCCTACAAGAGGCACTCGCTGATGTATCCATTCCTTATGACAGGCTGCCAACCTGCGCTAGACAAGTCCAATCGACTATACCCTACTTATCCTGTCCAAAGACAAAGCCTCCTTAGGAAACCTGTTCGTAGCCGCTAAGAAGCCACCCTCTCGATCGACTGAGCATTGGACTGGCCTCATACGTTTTTTGGTGTCCATCATGTGACTAACACTTAAATATGAACCACTTTCCCATAGAAAGTCTTCGCAGAAGGTACCTGCTTTGTACATCTCCACCCCGTGTTGGGTTGTATTCTTTCATCAATCCAATCCACAATTTTTATCCAGATTTATCCAAATATTTAAATTAATTCAAACATTGCATATTTTTAACTTATCTTTCTCATAATTCGAAATTTTAGGTTGAAGCAATTCTGAAAATTAGAATATTATACGAGAAATTAGAATTATTGGAGGAAAAACTTCATCCATTTTATAGAAACAGTGAAACTGAAAAGAAATCGAAGCAAACAAGCAACGAAAATATATTTGACATGCTTATTCTTCCTAATATAGAAGTAACATAAATTTATTAATTTTATTTTTTAAATAGAAAACATATGGAATTAAAAGTTAATTTTAAAAATTGTTTTTTAATTATATATAAAAAATATATATAAACACAGTCTGTTACCAAAAATATGAACCTCGTATTTTTATTGATAAAATTAAAATTCTTTAATGGAATCAAATTTAATTATTCCTTTCCAAACTTATAAATACAATATCTGTTCATAATATAAATATGTAATAGATAGATAATATATTCTCTATTGTACACAACACACTTTTTAGTTTCGAAAAGACCTCGAATTTACAAGCAAATCCAAAGTAACGTAAATGTAAATCTACCCAATTTTTTAAAATTTTTTCTCTGTTTTACTTAAATTCAGTTCACACAGCTTCTGTTTCATCAATCTTCATACATTGTATATGGGTGGAGTTGATTGAAGTCTGGAGAGTTGATGGCACGAGATGACATCCAATCTGTCTTTCAAACCAGGCAACTTGTGAGGTGAACTCCGAATTGGTGCATTGAACACTTTCACCTTCTTGAATTCTTTTCTGCACCCGTTTGATGGTTGTATTTTTCACAATTCCTGTCCATGGCTTAAAAATTATTACAGTTTTGCATAAATTCATAAGTAGCTCAATTTTTTTTGTAACAGACCGTATATATAATGTGTTTTAAACATTTTCAGGAGGAAAGCTTTACAGATATTAAAAATATTTAGTATAAAAATTCACGAGATATACCCGTTTGTTATCCACATTCATTCAAGAGTGAGCATACAATGTTCAATTTGCCAAAGTTATTGGTTCTTCTTTTATGGTAACGCATAGAAGTGTTACCATAAAAGAAGAACCAATTATATATACAGTCTACGAAGTTAATCACATGGTTTAATTACCATTACTTGTATGAACTTAATATAACCAATACATATATGTACCAGTTATAATACCAGTACATGTATGAAATTAATATGTAAATNTTGAATTTATACACAGAATTCACTAAATCTTTATAAGATTCATAATTTTTGGAGCGATTCTTCTTGCGTGCGATTGTAAGTAATCTGTTTTTTTTTTTTATAAAATTACAAAAGAATATTAAAAAATTGAGTCACGTTCATTCTTCTAGTAATGGATCCGAGTGCAGCCGTGAGTTAAAAGTAATGTAAAAAGTATTAAATTGTGTTATAAAACCACATTCTTAAGATATATTATTAAACAAATATTGCGTATTTATTGTATATAAGTTTAGGACTCGGATAGCAACGACGCTTTCAATACCTTGAAGAATTTAAACATGTTACTGAATAACAACAAATCTATAAGCAAACTTTACGTAAACGAATAATTTTCCATGACAAAATCACAAAAAATAAATGGAATAAAGAGAGAAATTTTAATAAATCTTTATATATATAAATCTATTTTAAAAAATTTCCTATTTATCAATAATAATATGATTATCTCTTAATAGGAAACTAATGAATACCATTCATACGATGAATTTTGGAAGTTATACAATAAAGCATTGATCGATTGCAATGTGCTAGAGAAAGAATTAATGTCATTAAATGTCGAAAATCAAAGATTACGTTCCTCTTTAAAAAAATATTTCTCGGAAATCCAAGTTGATCGATGTGTCTTGCAAGAAGCGGCACACAGTGATTTAACAATGTTCGTGTAAGTCGATAAACACTCTTTTTAATATAATTCTGAATGATTTATCTTTATATAATAAGTGATTTTAGGTTATCTTAAGGTATTAGGAAAAGTAAAATCGTGATGTGCCCTCTGTATAAGTTTATATAACACAAAGATCATATCTCACGATACTTGATATTGTACAAGGTAGAAGTACAGTATTGGATTCCTAGTACTGGATCCAAGACCGAATTTAGACATGTGCCTTACGGTAAATTTAAAAACTGAGGCCTCTAATTTTTAAATCGTAATGTCGTGACGTGAAACCCTACACAAGCTACTGCAGCTTGTTTAATAGGGTAATATGTAAAGTTATTCCTGACCAAATGAAACCAATGGACTATTTACGTGTGTCTAAAGCTCTTAAATTCGCGAGGATCTAGGAAAATTCTTAATTACATTGACGATTTGATGAAACCACTGAGCATTATTAATTAGTCGCGGGTTTGCGCCTGATTGACAAGCTGTCATGTAGTGTTTTCCGGGTCCTAAATAGGAACTAGTTTTAAAAATTTACACGATCCACCCACGATTGTCATAATCCCATCAAACAGATCCTTAGAGATATTTTGGGATTTTCGTAATTATAATGGAAATGTTCGAGATAAAATAAATTACTAAAAAACCGTTAAAGATGTTTAGTTTTAAGGTTAACGATTAAAAATGAATAAATAAATTGTTAGTTTATTAATTAGTTGTTTCATATTTTCACTCTAAAATTAATTTATTCGCATTTTTTTCCAGAGATGAAGTCAAAATTGCTGGCGATAAATTGCAATGAATCATTACTTACTGGAAAAGGGATATACAGTATATCAATAGAAACATTATGATTGTCTCAAGATTATATAATTTCAATAAATTTTTAAAACATTAAACGTTAACATATAATAACCCTAGTTTTTACATTGGTGAAACAAAGCAATGGCTGAAGATTAGACTGAAGGAACATCTGGCTGCTGTAAGGTTAAAAATTAGTAATTCTCCTGTCTTCCAACACTGTAATAGTAATAATTGTCAGATTAATACTAATAAATAAAAAATTATTTTTAGAGAAAAAAACAGTGTAAAACAGAAGGTAAAAGAACACTTCGCTATAATTATGCAGAACAATAATGTAAATTTAAATACAGGAATGTTAACAGCATAATGCTGGGAATTTTTTGTAAACTATATAAGTGGCTCTTATTAATGAGTTGATTGTTGGAGCATGAACTGTGTACGATTATCCCCACTGAAGAGGCCTTTCATAGGTGAAATGGGGAGCTTGTTAGTAATGTAAATAAAAAGTATTTTTCTCTGCAAACTGATTTCTTTTTATACCATTTTTAGCTTTAATTTTTTAATCATTATTGGTTTAATGTTTTAAAAATTTATTGAAATTATATAATATCCAAAAGTCAGAAGTGAAAGAAAAATATAATTTTTTTGTGTAATTTACATTTCTTACATAAGAAGAATAGAAAAAAGTTTGACTCAATCGTTTTTTACAATTATTTTGGAATATAAAGAGTTTTTGCTGGATTTATAAGGTGTTAAAGTTATTATTTTTAAAGAAAATTTATAAATCGTTTTATTGGAAACTTTCTATTATATTTGACTTAAGAGCCACAATCATACCAATCTTGTGGAAGAAAATTTTGAGAACTATTCCCATATTTTAATATATTTTTTTAATGATATTGTATTATAAAACATTTAATTGACTAATTTTTCAAACATTGATTAACTTAGAATTGTAAATCAGTCAATTCATAAGATATTTTTTATTTTTAATTAAATAAAAAACTTAAGTAAGTTAAATTGAATTAATATATTTTGTTTAAATAAAAATTATTTTAGGTGCTACTAAAGATATTGGATCGGCACTGACTAGATTATGTTTGAGACATCGTAGTGTTGAAACAAAATTCAAATCATATGCAAGGTAAGTTAGTTCTAAAATTAATCCATATTTTAATATTTTAATTTTATTATAATATTTAAATTACCATATTTACTTGCTTATAAGACAAGGTTTTTATTCATTTTTCACTGCTTTAAAAACCTAGGTCATCCTATATGCATGAGTGGAAGATTNAAAAAAACATATTATAATTTATAGATTGACATAGCCCTACATAGGAAAATAGACTGAAATAATTGTTTTAATTTAATTAATAATAATAATAATGATTAGAAATTTAAATGAATTTTTACTTTTCCTGACTGTTTCTATAACAGAAAGTATGGCCATCGATCAAAAAAATATGACCCCCTTCAACATTTTTACATTTTTAGACTCAGGGGACCTTGAAATCTCGAGAAATACGAAAGAATTGTGTTTTTTTTTCTGTTTGTATGTATGGGAGGTTATGATTTTGTTCACACTCTTTGAAATTTAATAACTTCTGTTCCTTTCGTCAAAAATTTCTGAAATTTTGCAGGTAAATTTGTGTGTTCGGAAGATTGGTGCTGTTAAATTTTGGTAGTTAAAGGTCGTCGGGGTAGCGAGATAGAAGGGCATCACGTGTCGTATGTCTAGAGAAGTCACACACCCATAAATACAAGAAAACCGAGCTTTATTGCACACGTTTCGAGGTCCTCCGAGTCCAAAAATGTAAAAACAGCGGGAAAGTAAAAAAAAAAAAAAAAAAAAAAAAATAGAACAATTTCCAATGAAAATACAGTAGAGCGTCGTTTATCCAAAAGTCGGTTATCCGAAAGAATCCCAGTTGGCCTAAAGTATAATTTTTATTTGTTTTTATATTTTTCAATGTATTTATTTCGTTTGTAAAACATAAAGAAATCATTTTTAACGATACAATAACCACGATTATTATTTTAAAAAGTTTACGTTAGGCTTAACATCGATGAAAATTCAACGCGAAGCGACACGCAACGGACAAAAATTTCAACACGGGATAGGTTAGTATATTTTTTCGTACATAATCGCTTATCCGAAAAACAAGTTATCCGAACAACCTCAGTCCCCGATTGATTCGGATAAACGACGCTCTACTGTACTGTTCAACGGAAATCATAGGAACGCCTAACCATAGGTTTGATCTTTAAAGTTATGTGAAAGCATAAAAATATGCAACTATTGTATATAATTTTTGATTCGATAAAAAATAATAAGAGAATCTTTTCTGTCTTTCATGATAATAATGTAATAATAAGCTGTATGTTTGTTTTATTGTTACGGATCATTTTTCTTGAAGACACGAACAGATCGTGCGTATTGTCACTTCACGGAACAATTACTTTAAATTGACGTAATAATACAAAAATAAAATTGTAATTTACAGTAATCACTGACGTAACAATGAAAGACACGTTAAAACTATAGAAAGGAATGTAACAATACAAACAATAATATTTAATTTCTTTCACGTGTTCAAAAAATTATTATTAATAGCGTAATAAGAAAAAAAATGCGATAAAATTACGAAAAAAACAGTGGAAAACTGTTCGGTACTTACCGAATTCTGCACGCAACTATAGAACGTGTAATTGTATACAAAGCTCGTTGTGTTTTTTTTCTGTTTTTCACTATTTAATACTGTAATTAAAACCGTAAATTGACTGTACTGTTATTTAAATAAGTAAACAAACGTTTGTTTTCTTGGATATTGAACGGTATCTATATTTATTGATTCTGCTTTTTTGATGCACGTGGCACCGTAAATCTTCTTTAGAATGAGGGTCATACATAATTTTTTGACAGAGATCTATCATTTTCTTGAATTAGTTTGCTCCATTGAGCAATTTTTCCTGCTTCACTATTTTGAAGATGTCAAACGTTTGGCAAGAAACATATTTTTTTTTTATTTTAACAGTTTTAGTATTGTATTAGGCCTATATATAAAATAATATAAGTAAAAACTATACAAGTCAGTAAACTAAGCGCGAGCAGATATTATAATTAATTTTATTTAATTTTTTAATAAATTATTTTATTAATTCAAAACAGTGTGTACAATGTTTAATGAAAGGGTGTATCTCTGTGTTGTAGTAACTTAAAGTGCTGTTCTAATAAGAATAGTAATAATTGATAAATTACAAAATTCGATACAATTGTATACTTAGTGTGACTTTTCTGAAGGATTTAAATATTTATATTCTAAATAATTGTTTAATTAAAAAAAAAGTATAAGTTGAAAGATACTTCAATTTTAAATGACAGTACGTTGTATGTGAAAGTTCATTCATTAACAGTTTATACAACGTGATAGATTAACGTATAATTAGTAAATAAATTTACAATAAAGCTAAATATTTACAATAAAACCAGTTTTCCATTCAAGATACGTTACAAATCTTTGACGAAATTTCTTCCTATAAATTTGACAAAAACTCGTATATTTTTCAAAACTTTACAGAATATTTAACAATTTTTTAATATAAAGATATATTTTATAGTTGTAAAACATAAAATAAAATCTATTTTTAAATATTTTAAGTAAATTTGCCTTCAGAAATCATATTAAAGATGAAGTCGATGTTAACTTTCGACTCGACTCAGATCGATCTGCAAATCAATCGACCGGAAAGTTGAACAGATTTTCTAAATTATTTAAAAAAATAATAATAATAAATTCCAGCAACAAGTCGCTTAACTTTCCCGGCAACATTTTGTGGCGCCATCTGTTACAATATTTTATTGTTATTTTTTTTAATTATATTTTTAACTATTATAAAATGACAAAAAGCTTAATTTTGAAAACAGGGATGGGTTTTGTAAAAAAAAATTGTAAATGCTAAGAACGAGTAAAATCTTCATTAAGTCCTATCCTACTGGAGATACACACGACCCCCTATTATCTCCCCATTCCCACGACCTTTAAGCACCAAAATTTAATAGCATCGATCTTCCTAACACGCGGACCATCCTGCAAAATTTTAGAAATTTTCGACTAAAAGCGCAGGAGTTTTTAACCTTTGAAGAAGGTGAACAAAATCGTGCCCCCCACACACTAACATGAAAAGACTCCCAATTTTTTTGGCATTTTTTCGACGTTTCAAGGTCCATTGAGTACAAAAATGGGAGTTATTTTTTGACCGATTGCCATACTTTTCCTCTGTTATGTAGAACACCCAAAAAAGTAAAAAAAGAAATTTCCTGATTCGATAATTAAATTATTTAAATGCTAAATAAATACTCATTACATAAAAATGCAAGAAGGAACTTCCATTGAATGCATTTAATATAATACAAGCAACATCATTTAAATGCAAGAAAAAAAAACAACAAAAGAATGGAATTTTCTAACAATAAATTATAAAAAAATGAAGGATTCTCAAGACAATAATCAATAGAATTTTAAAATAAAGAGCAATTTTCATATGAATAAAATTTTTTTTCCATATCTTCTTTAGTGGTTTGAGTGTTTATCCAGTTTAAAATATTGCACCAGGATAAAGCATACATTTAAAAAAATTAATGCCCTGTTTCCTAATCACGTGTAGAAAAAAAGTTCACAATTAGAAGAATGTAAATGCATCTATTGTATTGTCAAATCATAAATATCCTCTTTAATAAAGAGAGTGGTTTAACACTAACTTTATGTGTTTTGACCCTGAAAAATGTCACTCGCATTCTACACTAAAAAATACATTTTTTAGAATAAAAATATAAAAGAATAAAATATTTATATAATATAAAATAATATAAATTCTTTAATTACTTAAGAGGAATTGTAAATTTCTTGTTAATAAATGGATTGTTTAGGCACTTAACCACACGTTTCCCAACCCCAAAAAATTTATATATTTACTAAATTAAAAAATATTTTAAAAAATTTATAAATTTTTCATTTAATTCTGTAACAAATATTTTAAAAATTATATTTTATTTATAATTGGGGAAAAATTATAGACATTCCTTGTATAATTTATAATTATATTTAATTATAATAACATTAATATGGCGCCATCTATTATCAAAGAAATTTTATAACAATTTCATAAATTAAAAGAATAAAATTAAAATATAAAATTAAATTTTTATGTAATTATCAGAAGAAGTGTGTTCGAAAATTAAAAAGTATAATAACGATAAAATTAGGTTATTAATTAAAATAAACATGTTAGTTCCAATAAAGTAAATATAGAACTGTAGCGCCATCTGTTATGATATTTAATTAAAAGTTTTTCATATTATAAATTATTATAAAATGGTAAAAAAACTTAATTTTGAAGCCACAGATGAGTTTTAGAATAAAAAAATTTGTAAATGCTAATACCGAGTAAAAATCTTCATTAACTCCAACCCGATTAGAGATATGACACGTGACCCGTATCTCCCTACCCCTCGATCTTCAACCACCAAAATTTAATAGCATCAATGGTCCTAACACCCAAACCTCCCTGCAAAATTTTAAAAATTTTCGACAAAAGGCACTGGAGTTATTGAGTTTCAAATCCAATACTAAATAGGGCCCTAGACATTGTCGTGTGATCGGAGCAAGATTGGCACACAGGCTGAAGCTCAGAGCACCCATTACCGACCTGTAGCTTAAAACTTTACATTTTAACGTAAATTGTTATTTGGTAAAGGCAAAGGGTTGCAGCGCGTGATTCGTCAGTTATTTACTTTATAGAAGGGTGCCGCAGGTTCTGTATTATGTAGGGCCTGGCACAGCCTGGCTTCATCAATTTTACGGCTTCGTCCTTCAGTTAAATGTCTGATTGTTAAAATACTCCAATAAATTACCAGTCACGTACTTATAAATAGCAACTTAACAGGAAATAAGATTAAATCATTTCTGTATGCAAACATTTATTATACCGAAAATCTAAGTCACACGATCGTAATTACAGTTTTATGCAAATTAACGGAAAACTAAATTTAATTAATTAAAAAAAATGCTAATTACGATAAGCACTTACGTATCTACTTTAAAATATTAAAATTATATATATATGAATATTCAAATTTTCAAATTGTAGACATATATTGATACATTTCCACGTCACTTTCAGACACACCGGAAGTTCGTATATAGTTAATCGAAACTTCCGGCCCTAAGTTTTCCATATCTGGTCTCGGTTTTCACCAATCAAACACCGTTCTGTTTTTAACGAAGAACAGATCGACAGACAAGACAATGGGAATGCATATTTCTACAATTTGAAAACTGCTACCCAAAAGTACTTAATTTTGACCGTGAAAAGAGTCAAATTTTGGGCTCATATTGAATGCAGAGGTCACGAGAATATTGACTTATACACACGTGACTTACATTAACGTGTTTTCTCTTTTATGTTTTAACAATAAGAATAATAAATAACAATTATAAAATTTAATGTATTGTCTTAAAAACATCCAGTGTTATTTACACAAGAATTTCTCATTTAAATTTCCTGCTACTCTCACGAATACTTATCACACAAGTGGAGTATTTGAAACGTTTTTTATAATGTCTGAATTTATTTGTACTTTTATTTGAAACTTTCACACTACTACTGTTAAGCTTCTGTATTTCGTTCTGTCTGCCATTTAAATATAACTCTAACTATAACTAATTCTATTTAAAACACCAATATTATTATGAATTTCGCAGTTTAAACTTTAAATTAGGTGAATGAAATCGCACCCCTCCACATGTATAGATACTTACACAAACGTCCATAAATACAGAAAAGACCCCAAATTTTTTGGCTTTTCTCAAAGTTTCGAGGTTTCCAGAATTCAAAAATGTAAAAATCTAGGCCAGGGGTCACTTTTGACCGATGGCAAGGGGTCTCGAAAGGTCGATAAATGCAAAAAAATTCAGGAGTTTTTCACTATGTATGAATGTTAGTGTTGTGGAGGATGATTTTGTTGCCCATTTTGAAGATCAATAACTCTCGTTCCTTTCGTCAAAAATTTCTGAAATTTTGGTGGGAGGTTTCTGAATTAGGACGATCAATGTTGTTAAATTTTGGTGGGTAAAGGTGGAAGAAGTAGGGAGATAAAGGGCATCGAAATCTCCAATAGAGTCGGACTTAATGACGAATTTACTTGTTAGCATTTAGTTTTTTTTTTTTTTTTTTTTTTTTATAAAACCCATTCCTTTTCTGAAAATTAAGCTTTTTGCCATTTTATAATAATTAAAAGTATAAAAATAAAATATCGTAACATACGAAGCCACACACGCAGTTTTAAATGTTGCCGGGAAAGTTAAGCAACTCATTGATAAATTTTACTTTTTTCCTTGGTTATAAAATTTACTGAATGATTTTATGGATGCCATTTTCTTCCGCTCGATAGACTTTTAATGCAGGATAGATTTTGTTGAGAGTCATAAATCATATCAATTTCTGTATTGTCCTTTTTCCTCTGTGTTTTCCTCTAACGAAAATTGAACCCGGACGTTCGATATTTCCCTCATAAATACTTAAATACCTGCGACTATTTTGGTTTTCCCTGTTGTAATCATCGTTATTACGTCATTATCCAGTTAATTTCGGCTTAAGACATTTAACTAAAACGCTTGATTAAACTGTTTGTTGGAGCAGAGAATATTAACAGCGCCAAGCATTTTAGAAAATAATTATTTTAATAACAATAAAAATCAGAATAATTTATTAAATTATCGTTAATATAACATTTTAAATAGCCACAGAAACAAATTTTTATATATGGGGTGGCCCAAAAGTCAATTAACAGTTCTACGTGTTTTTGTGCTGTTTTCCAACTCTGATTGAAACAAACGAAACGAAAAGCGGTTAACTGAATTCCGGGCCAACCAGTGGATCTGAAGCACGTTGAATTTATACACAGAATTCACTAAATCTTTATAAGATTCATAATTTTTGGAGCGATTCTTCTTGCGTGCGATTGTAAGTAATCTGTTTTTTTTTTTTATAAAAAAATATTAATTTTTAAAATTATATTTAGAAATAAATTACGTAAAGGATAATTATATATACCATTACGAATCCCTGAACGATTCCTAGAATGGCTCCAAAGAGGACGTCCCACCAAAAATGCCGATCATCCGTGATTCTGGTGATGCAGCAGACGAAGCTCCATACTAAAAACATTATCCGGATGAACAAACGAACGGATCCTTTTCTAATTCTTTCTTCGCTGTAGAACTGGAATTACATTTAAAAAAAAGTAATAAGTACTCAAGTAAAGAGGAGAAAACTAAATTTGTATATGATCCCACATCTGACACCATTTTGAAGTTTCTGAGCTAAAAAGCATCAAATATTTTATTTTTGATGTTTCTAAGCTTTTATATTTTATGTTTAAGTGCTAAAAAGCATTTAAACATAAAATATAAGGACTAAGATTCAAATCTAATTACTTTAACAGTGTATTTGTATGGAGTTCACTCATGCATAGTAGCGATTATGTCTCCACTTATGCAATATTTTACGCTTAAATTCAGTCATTTATCATCCCAAAATAAAACATGCCAAGTAAATTATGCAATATCTTCATGCTCATAAACTTCAAATCCGATTTTCCCAGCGCAATGTTCATAACAGGGTCGGATCTGGAGCATTAACTTTATGCAAATTCTGCATCATTTATCTTCTTAAATTATGCAAGATACATTTTAACACTTATAAATACTGAATAAGGGATTTAGAAATGACTTATTAAAGCAGAATCTAAAGAAAATATCGTCTAAAGATGCGCATAATCCACGATAAAAAAATAACTATTTAATGACACAACTAAAGTGAAAAATTTGGAGAATTTTGGGGACTTTTCATCCCCAAAATGACGAGTAAACACTTTAAAAACGTGTGTATCACTCACGTAGATGTAAAGAAACATATACGATGATAAAGATGCATGGCCAGAAGGGAAGGATTTATAAACATCCAGTTTCCTCAACCAAGAGCTTCGAGTATCCGTACAGTTGTACGACGAAACTATGCTAAAAATGTCAATATAATATTTAAAAAAAAACATATTATAATTTATAGATTGACATAGCCCTACATACCCAGCGACACATTTAACATCAGGTAAGCAGGAATGTAAAAAGTGAGGCCTTAATTCTCCTACAGAAATTTTCAACAGTTCTGTGACGGTCAGCACGTACAATAATCCTCGTAAATACCGTCGTACATCTGTACGCCAACCTCTTACACCATTCTTAAGTGTGGAACGATCTGTTAAGAAGATCTACTAAAATAAGGATACAGAATTAAAGGGGTTGAGTACACAAAACTGGAACACACTTACCACTAAACTGGGGAGGAGTAACGTGTTTAAAGTGAATAACAATGGCGTTACGGTGTCTCCACGAAATGGTTTATCAATCTTTTCGTCGTTACATACGAAGGAACGTTTGTAGGGAGGTATCACTCCGGTTATGCTGAGTAACAAGAAGGATAAAGCTGCAGAATGCAAAGGAATTAGGGAGTTAGCGTTAGTAACGTAACACTAAACTACACTTAGAGTTAGTAAATTATTGTTTCCATCACCCTCACGAGGATCGTAACTTAATATAGGGTCCAATTAAACTTACACACTTACCAAAACACCATAAGTAAGAAGTTAGCACACGTTTCAAGTAACTGTAAGCTTTAAAAAATATCAATTTGTAACGTTTCTCCGCCATGTTTAAGTAAAATATAAGCCGTTACTTTCAATTTTCACGTGACCATCTTCTTGTAATCACAGGTTAAAGGTCAAACTTTTACTGCGTTCAAAGTATCAGATAACGTCGATAATCGATGGGATTATTTGTAAAAATTGAGATTTTAACACCCGTTTAACGACTCTATTTGTAAGAAAATTACGTTGTTAATTACGTTTAAATACACTTTTAAAGGGAATTACGTTTAAAATGATAAAATTATGACATTGATTTAATGTATAATTAACGATCATTTAAAGAAAGCCATCAGTAACATATGCTTTAGTAATATTTTTAAATCGATTTTTCTTAATATTCTCACTTCTTACTTTAAAAAATGAAGGGAAAAAATCAGAAAAATTGTAGAAAATAATACATAATTTCCTCCAAAAACGTTTAAAGTAAATTTAGATTTTTATCATTATTTAATTAAATAATCAATATTAAAAATATAAACTTTAATTACTTTATTAATTCCTCATTAACTTAAATACACTTTTAAAACGATTTATTTAATGTTTTTAACTAAAAAAACTTAATAAATAAGTAAAAATAATAATAATTAATAAATTAATTTACTTTTTTTTAATTAATTTTACTTAATTTTTTAATAATTTAACTAATATTTACACGTTAATCAATGGGATAAACTTGCCTAATTCCTACCTAATTAGCACATTCCTGATCAATTTTAAAATTTAATTATCTAAATTATTAAATTTAAAATAATTAAAAGTTTAATTTTAAATGTTTACAGTCGATTTTTAAGTATTAAGTAATTACTTTTTTAATTAAAATAATTAAAAATTCTTCATTATCAAATAGATTTGTGGATCTTTATAGATAAAACACGCGTAGATAAATAAAGTTAAGCTGTTAATTCTATTTAAAATGAACCTCCGATTGATAAATTATAGAAATTTAAATGTTTTAAACGAAAATTTATATTAAAAATTATAAAAATTTGCATTTAAAACATTCAAATCTACGCCCTTGTATGTAAATTACACAAGCTTACACCCTAAACGTCCTGTAAGAATGTATGAAAAATAAAGGGTAAATCTTATTTTAATTTATTAAAATTTATTAAGACAAATAAAATTTAAATTAAATTTTATAAATTAACAATTAATTAAAGTAAAAATTCGATAATTAATGATTAAAATTAAAAAAAAGTGGTCTCCTAATCAGCCCTATAAATCGATAAGGATGTAAGATAAAGTGTTGACTTTTAGTAATTTTTTAAGATAAAATAAATCATTTTTAATGAAAAAATACAGTAAAACCTGCCTAAACCGGAATTGCACGGTCCGTTTTAAACCGATTCTTTTCATAACACAAAAAAAATCGCTTCGTTTCTTCCGTTCAGGCAGGTTTCCTTTGTATTCAGGTTCCATTTTGAACAGGTTTTACCGTATTTAAAGCGAGAAAAAAACATTGCACGAAGATTGTCTGTCCTTTATCCGAAATAAGATAAACAAGCTATGTCGTAGGTCCTCTAGCTTAATGCCTCGCATTTTTACATGCATTTGATAACAGTCCTATTATATGTTATAGCTTAGTTCCTGCTATGTTAAGCGATTTTTGGGCAGCAGAATGGCCTAAAAGTCGCTTAACCTCGTCTTATTCTTAACGCATTTCCCTTGTTCTAAACTCGGTTTACGATTCATACGTTCAATTGTAACCGAAATAAAATAAACGAAGCACAGTTAACTGATTTCTGGGCCACCCTGCATTTACAATCATGTTCATAAGCGAAATATAGCCTAAATTAATATATTTTTCGTCCTTACGTACAGGTTAGCCCAAAAGTCAGTTAACCGCAGCAGTTTATCATTTATATTCACGAGTGTATGTGAAACACACTAGTAAAACACAGTCTCCCGACTTTTGGGCTAAGCCGTTATTTTTTACTGTAAAAATTTTAATTAAAATAAGTCAAACCTGTACAGAGCGGCCACTGACAAAAAAAACTGCGGTTGCTCGGAGATTATTTTTTTAAGAATTTCTGTTAAGAGAAAATGGCCGCTGTTTAGAGGTGATGACCGTTGTTGGGAGGTGGCCGTCATTGGAGATTCGACCATACGCTATTATTAAATATTCCATAATTAGGTATCCGCTTGAATTAAATTTTTAAATACAGTGGACCCCCTATAACACTGTTGATTATTCCGTTTTATATGAATTCCGTGTTGTACGAGTCACTTAGATTTTACAAATACGTGAGCCGTTCAGAGCCTGGCACACATATTTATAAAATCTAAGTGACTCGTACAGCATGGAATTCATATAAAACGGAATAATCAACAGTGTTATAGGGGGGTCGACTGGTATTTAAAATTTTTACTTTCCTTTAACGAAAATAACCTGCTTAATATGTAACAGTTTCTACTTGATTTTTCTTTATAAGAATGCATTTTGTTCAGATCATCCCTTATCATCTCTTAATGTAATCTTGTTCTGGAATCATCCCTATCATCTCTTAATGCCATTTTACTCTGGAATCATCGCTTATCATCACTTAATGCCATTTTATTCTGGAATCATCCCTTATCACTTAAGATCTGACGTTAATAAGAAACCGTAGAAAGTCGAGAGAACAGGAGAAACGTTGAAAATCTCGAGATTAAAGCACTTGTAAACCCTCAGGAAGCACTCAACGATGATGACGCAAAAAAAAAAAAAAAAAAATATTTCAAGAATCCAACAAATCTTCTTAAAATACAGAAGAAAGTTTGAAAACATTTCAAATTTCTCTCGCAGATAACACCAGAAATTCTTCAAATTATATTGGCTACTATCCACCTATTATTCAAGTTATAATTGAAAAGGGGGATTAAAAAACAATTTCCAGTGTAGAAGAAGGATTTAAAAATTAAATTTCTTCGTTTAAAAAGTTTTAAAAACACTTAGAACTTTTTTTTTAAGTGATAAAAATATATATTAGCAAAGTCTTACAATAAAAGTATTCTTGGCAAGCCACGTAATTATTCTGAAAGTAATTCTTATTTATTGATCGATTGTTTCCTCCTTTAGTGTTAGCGAAAATTCTTTTATTTTCTCTGTCTTAAAAATAAAATAAAACAAAATAAAAATCGTTTTCAAGGTCATTCGTTTTCATTGTTAAACGTCAATTTCTCCCATTGTTAAAAGAAAAACGCATTTTTTTCGTCAATTTCAACACTTCGACTGACGTAACAATAGCAAATAACCAATCAATCATACTGGAAATGAAACGTACAATTTTTTTTTTAAATTTTAAAATTTTAAAATAAACCAATCACATTACTTGTCTATTTCGAAATTTACAATTTATTAACCAATGAAAAAAAAAACAATATAACCTATATATTTTTAACCGTTCGTCGCGTAACTTTTTTTTTATGACGAGAAACAAAAATAATAATTAAAAATAAAAAGAAGAACATGTGATTATCAACTTCATTCAACTCGAACTGTTGTCGTTTATTGGTAGATTGAAGCGACGTCACCGCGGTTACTCCACCCGTCCTGACGTCACCTAGTCACGTGGGGGGAAGATCGCACAGAAGAGTCGCCGACGTCGGAAAGATTCGTTTGCTTTTGACCTGTGGACGTTTTTTAGCAGAATGAATGGCGATTCTTCGCTCATCAGAAAGATCGTGGAGTTCTTCTGGATCGCAGGTATGTTATAGGTTTAATATATAAATCATAAGAGGGGATTATTTGGCGCTACGATCGCTGCAGTTTATCTATTGGGACAGTTAATAAGATCAAGGTTGAAAGAGTTGCCTGTGGGATGTTTCCTGGGACGCGAAACACAAAAAATTAGGTGCGTCGTGTAAGCCGTGTTAAACCCCTTACACTAAATTAAAATACATTAATTGCGAAGCTTTATTTTAAATTTATACAGCGAATTACTTAAATACACTAAACACTAAAGCTTTACTTCCTTAAACAAACTTCGTATGTAGTAAAACCTGTGTAAACCGGAATGGCGAGTTTCCATTTAGAACAAGTTTTTATGTTTTTAACGTAGAAAATCGCTCCGTTCCGAAGAATTTTTTTTACCGTTTATACAGGTTTTCGTTCTATACGGGTTCCGTTTTAGGCAGGTCTTGCATTGTTAACAGTTTAAAACACTCATACGAGTTATAGAAAGTAACTAATTGACGTTAACAGTGTTTATTTATCGAAATATATAAGGTTTATTTGCTTAAAGATTAAGTTTATAGACTGGACGACCGAACAAAACGTAACAATGACGAAACAATAAATGATTAATTTCAACATTACTGAAACATACAACAATTGTTAAGGTTTAAAGGATTAAAAATGAATCAATATTATGCATTAACGTTTTATTTAAAGGCGGAAAAAAAGTTATTCTTTTATGCCCTCCTGTTTTGTTACTTTTATGTGTTTGGTGTGAGAAAACACAATTGAAATTTTGACGAAGAATTTCTACTTTTGTGCACGCTAAAATCTGTATTCATTCGGCATCAAACTTTTGTACCTTTTGTAAAATTCGTGCCAATTGTTACAACTTGAATAATTTAAATTATGTTGTTAATTGTTAATTTAAAATTTCGACCCACTTTTCACGCGTTTATGAATATTTTACAGGTTAATGCCATAATTTTAAATCGCATTTTTTAAATTTATATTTTTAATATACACAGTCGACCCCTCTATAACACTCTATAACACTGTTGATTTTTCCGTTTTATATGAATTCCATGTTGTACGAGTCACTTAGATTTTACAAATACGTGAGCCGTTCACAGCCTAGCACACGTATTTAGTGACTCGTATAAAACGGAATTCATATAAAACGGAAAAATCAACAATGTTATAGAGGGTCGCCTGTACGTGAAAACCTGTGTAAACCGGTATCTCACGGCACCGGTTTTGACAGGTTTCCGTTTTACACATCGTTTTTTCTAACATAAAAAATCGCTCCGTTACGAACGATTTTTCCCGATTTAGACAGTTTCCGTTTTAGACAGGTTTTGCTGTAATAAAAATTAGAAAATATTTTAGAAATTGCTTTTAATTTTTATAAAAATTTTGAGGATTTTCTTTTCTTTCTTTATATATTTACAATAAACAGTTTTAAAATGTATATAGAATATTATACAGTGGAACCTGCAATAGAAATAATCTCCCAAAAGGGGACACCGGACAATTTTTTTTGGAAATTTATTAAAAAAGTAACTTCCAAACAAAGAAAACCTCTTAACAAAGACCGCTTTATTTTTGTTAACGTCAGTGGTCGTTGTTTACAGGTTTTACTGTATATATGTATATATAAAATAATAAATTATTAACGATAAAATAAAGAAAAAGGTTAATATTTTTCGTTAAATATTTATTTTATATTTACAAAGTTCATTTACCTGGCAAGAGGAAAAAAGTCAGAAATTTATTTTTGTTTATGTTTAAAAATATAAAATGCTTCAGAAGCATTTTAAAACATTTAAAACTAAGTAAAATATTAGCAAAATTCAATAAAACCTGTATTAACCGGACTCGCACTGTACCGAATATTTTCCCGGCTTGACAGGTTTCCGTTTTAAACAGGTTAAAAAAAAACAGAAAACCGCAACGTTCTGAAGAATTTTCCCCTTTTAGGCAGGTTTCTGATTTAATCAGGTTCCGTTTTGTACAGGTTTTACTGTAAATTATATTAAAAAAAAAAAAGTTTTAGAAATGTTATTTATTTTCACAAAATTAACAGGAAAACTTGCCCAAAACAGAACCTGAGTAAAACGGAAACCTGTCTAAAAGCGACTTTCTTATGTTATTAAAAAACCAGCTTAAAACGGAAATATGCAAAATCGAAATAGATATTCCGTACTGTGTATATACAGTTTACACAGGTTTCTATGTATTTATACAGTAAAACCTGCCAAAGACGGAACCTGAATAAAACGGAAACGTGACTAAACGGGAAAAATTCTTCGAAACGGAGCGATATTTGTGTTTAAAGAAATAAAATCTGTTCAAAACGGAAACCTGCAAAAGCGGAAAAAGTATTTGTACGGTATCATTCCGTTTTACACAGGTTTTACTGTAATTAAATATATAAATTTTAAAAAATTAATTAATTTTTGTTATAAAATCAAAGTCCTGTAATGATTTTTAATCAAGAGCACACTATTTTAGACATTACTTTTATTGTTTTTTTGTTACAAAAAAAGCAATATTTTTTGATTTATCCCACTCAAAAAAATGTAAAAAAAATCAATAAATATAGATTATATTGATTAAAATATAAACTTTAATAAAGTTTAACATAAAAGGTATATTATTGTAATTTAAAATCATCAATCACAATACCCCCAGTAACATTTAAATTTAGAATTATGCCGTGTGTTAGATGTATAAAGAAAATAATAATAATAATAGTAATAAAAAATATTCTATATATTCAGAATAATTGAGAAATTGTGCTGAATATTCTGAATTTTTAACAGGACAATTAATTTTATTGTCCTGGTACATTGATGAGATTAAGATAATGCCACTTCAAACAGTGAAAAAGTTAATTTGTACCTAATCCTGCCTAATTAATGATAAAATTTACATGAAATTCAATAATTTATGTGTTTTTTAAACAATAAATCTATAATAAAACATGATTAATAGTATTATAAATTGAGAGCAGAACAATTGGAATTGTGTGTATATATATGTGTGTGTGCATGTATACAAAATTCCAACTTAAATACTGTATTGTAAAAATAAAGTGTGAGATGTTTAATATATATATATTAAAAAAAACAATAAAAATATTCTATATTATCAGAATAATTGAAAAAATAATAAGAAATTGTGCTGAATATTCTGAATTTTTAACAGGACAATTAATTTTATTAGCTTAAGTAATAGATAGATAAATAAGATAATGCAGTCAAACAGTGAAAAAAAAATTAATAAGCACTTAATACTTCTTAATTCGTGATAAATTATTGAAATTTTATGTATCTTTATGTATTTTTTAAACAAAAAAAAACTATAATAAAACATGATTTATGGGATTATAAAGAGCAGAACAATTGGAATTGTGTGTATACTTGTGTGTGCATGTATACAAAATTCCAACTTAGACATTGGAAAATTGAATTTAATATAAAAAATAAAACAGAATAATTGAAAAAAAGTAATAAATAATAGGAAATTATGTTGAATTTTTAGAATTTTAACAGGAAATTAATCTTATTGGCTTAGGTAATACACAGATAAATAAGATAATGCAGTTCAAACAATGAAAAATTTAATATATACTAAATACTTCTTAATTCATGATAAAAGCTACATAAAACTTCAATAATTTATGTATATTTTAAAACAAAAAATCAATAATAAAAATATAATATACAGGATTATAAATTGAGATCCTAACAATTGGAATTGTGTGTGTATATGTATGTGTGCATGTATACAAAATTCCAACTTCAATTTTCCAGTTTCAATTGGAAAATTGAAGAGAAAAAAATCTATAAACAGAAGAGTGAAAAATTTAATATAAAGTTATAAAATTTATATTAAATAAAATTTTAATAAATTGTTATTAAACTTTTAAAATTTACACACATTAATGTATACATATATATGAATATTTTTTCAATTATTTTATACAGCTTAATAATAGAAAAATTTTAAAATATATATTAAAATAAGGTCTTTTTCTAATTCATAAAACAGTAAAAAATTTTACTTTTTTTATTCAGTTGTTTATATAAAAGTACTATGTATTCATGAGCAGGTTGAAGCTTACCCCACACACTTCAATTTACCATTTTCTTTTATTTTTTTAAAAATTATTTTTCAGTTAAAATAGCAATTTATTATTAATATATTATAGAAGAAAGGGTGTAGAATATATATCTAAATTTCTTATTCCTTAATAAGATTATAATAATTTAAAAAAATATTTTTTAAACTCTCTTATGTATAAAATTACAGGAGTTAGCCAGAAGAAATTAATTAAATGAGCTATTTTCACTTAGTTTTAAGGGGAAAAAAATTTATTTTCTATTAAATAAAAAGTAAAAAAAAAAGGAAACTTAATAATCTTTAGAAGATTTTTTTAATAAAATAATATTAAATTAAATTTAAAAAAAATAAAACATTTAATTTATAACTTTTCAAAACAGACCAAAAGAAAATTCACAAACAAAAGGTACTTTTAAAATCTGTAAGAACTGTAAAGTCTTTGCCTTGTTTGTTCTAAATGTTGTGATCTAGAATTTGTAGGCTTGATCAATTTTATCATTGAAAACAGCATTAAGAAAAATAAACCTGTAATTTTCAGAGATAAAAAAAAAGTAATTTAAAAAAAAAAAAATAGTAATACTTTCAATCCAAATTTCAGGCTTAATGCAGATATAGTATATNTTAAATCATTAATTAATATTTAAAAATGTATAAAACAAACAAATTTAAGAAAAATTTTTACAGTAAAACCTGTGTAAACTGGAATCACGTTGTACTTTGGCAGGTTTTCGCTTTGAACAGGTTCTATTTTTTGTTAACAGAAAAAAAATCGCTCCGTTCCGAAGAATTTTTTCCGTTTACACAGATTTTCTTTTTATTCAAATTCCGTTTTAGACAGGTTTCGCTGTAATATTCAAATTCGATTTATAAATTTTTAATTCATGGTGAAAACATAGAAAAAA